GCGCCCCGAGACTCCGACTACCTCAGGGTCCGTGTTGGCCGTTTGCCTGCGGAGTTAACTCCCTCCCGGGGCGAAGCTCGGGGACGGGCGGGGAAGGAAGGGTCCCCAGGCACCGGGCCGGCCCCCGGATGCGCCCCAGGGCCCGCGGTGCCCTTCTCAGCACAGCGGGAGCCACGGCTCCAGGGGTGGAATCAGGAAACATCTCTACTTCGCAGTCCTAACTGCCTCACAGTTTGGGGCAAAAGTGGAAAAGCCACGAATCACACCCGTCACTCAAAGTTCAGTGGGCACCAGCACGCTCTCCAGGGCCCTCACCACTCCCCTCCCCGGCCCCCGGCCCCCAAACCTAAATCTGTAAGGGTGAGGCCGAGATTTTTTTCAAACAGGTTTTGTACCTCAGCCACAACACTGTCAAAACCACCTGGCTTGCGTTTAAAAGCCCAGCTGCGGTGGCCTCTGAGACAGCTCCCCTGGGACCTAAGCCAGGGGTTTCTGCTCTCGGGGGCTGGTCCTCCAGCAGGGAAATCCCCCTGCACGCTCCACCCAAGAGCTGACGCTAGGGAACAGCCAGGCAGTCCACCCAAACCCTCTGATCGCCTAGAAGAGGAGGGTGATTTAGGTGCTCAAATCCAACACCTGCTGTCATTCCCTCGGCAAACCTGCACCACTTCAGCTCCCCGGCCTGCGGCTCAGACAGGACCCTGCCTCAGGGTAGGTAGTGGCCAAAGGGCTGTGGGCGCAGAGGGGATGGAGCGGGTGTTCTTGTGGCAGAGACGCCCGAGCCCCTAGGCACGCACAAGTCTGCGGAAGCAGCACTCACTCAATAAATACATGCTGATTTATTTATAGGGATCAGATGGTTTCTTAGGGGATAAATTCGACAGGTGCTGCGAGAACTTTATTCATTTGCGATGTCCCTCCCCTGGCAGGCAAGGCAGCAAGTTTGAGGACAAGCGAAAATCATCCCCTATTTAAAAAGTGACCCCTAGCAGTCTTGGGGTGGGGGTTAAATTAAAAAAACAAGAACAAAAAGCCCTCAAGGATTCCTAATTGCTTTTGAATACAGAGGCTTGGAAAGGAGTTTCCACCGGGTTCAGGAGCGACTCCTGCGTAGTGTTGGGGGAAGGACAGGAGCAGAGCCTGTGCAGGCCGTCCTCTTAGCCCACAGATGCCAAGACGATGTCTACTGGCAGCTCCTCTGAACTTCTGGCTGTCACCTGCATTGTCACCGTGTCCAAAAGCAGCAACCGGGAGCGCACCAGGATGTCATGACCACCCCGGAACACGCCTAGAAGGGGAGAGAGGACAGGTGGGTAAGGCAGACGGGGGCTGTGAGCTAGGCTGGGGGTGGAGGTGGGGGTGTGCTTGCAATAGCTGATGGAGGCAGCTCTGGGGGAGTGGAATGGGAGGGGCCTGGAAGCAGGAGAGCTGGCTGAAATCCCCAAGGCCCTGGGCATGTCACTCTGCCTCTCTGAGCTGCAGCATCCTCCATGATCTCAGTAGTTACCATTCTACTAACCATATTTCGAGCTTCTGCAAGCTCAAATGAGTTAATGGACATACGTGGCTTGTGCCTGATGTCACAGAGGCTCTCACATGTGTTGGCCCAATCTAAGAGCACAGAGGAAGGGACAGCCCCACCATGACAAAACCGCAGAGCAGGTGTCTGCAACACCCAGGGGACCGGGTCACCTCACTGTGGCCAGAAAGGCTGGGCTTAGGGGGCTGTCAGCTGTGAGCAGGGCACTGAAGCAGAGCAACTTCCCCACCCTGTTTATAAACACTCAGGAAAAATTTTTTTCCGTTTATTCACTGTTTTAGGTGTGATGAACTTTTAGAGAAGCATAGAGATCAGAAATGTTTACATATAAAATGTCTAAACACAGAACCTGGGGGTGGACAGTGAGCAGGGCTATCGGTGCTGTCTGCTGCCGACACTGGGGCATGAGCGTGGGGGGGCTGATTCTGTGTATGTTTGAAAACTTCCATGAGAAGTGCTTAAAATCCCATTCCTGTTAGAAAAGTCCAGTGAGCCCAGAAGAAAATTAGACACAGGATATGAAAACAATTCACAGAAAAGCAAACACAGGTGGCACTGTGCATCTGAGCAGATGCTTAACTTCATTCAATATATGAGAAATGCAAAATAAACCTGCACGGAGCCACCATTCTTCACACCTGGCAAACATCATACCACCAAGTTTGATAACACGCTGTGCTGTCCAGAGTGTGGGAGGAAAGGTGCACAATTCCTATGGAAGGCAACTGGGAATATTTACCAAAAGGGAAAATGCACTTTGTCTTGGTAACGCCTAGGGAAACCTACCCTACAAATACCCTCGGTGCCCATATGCAAAGTGAAGTGTGTGTGTCTGCATGTCTGTATGTGATCATTCACTGTGGCATACTTTGTAAGAGCAGAAGACTGGAACAATCTACATGTCCATCAGAATCCGATCCACCCACACAATGGAACAGCAGTCAGCTGCACGCAAGAATGAGTGCTCAGTCTGGGATGATAAAAATGCTCTTGGGGGGAGGGCAGAGCTCAGTGGTAGAGGGTGTACTTAGCATGCACATGGTCCTCTAAAAATAAACAAATAAATAAATAACCCTCTCCCCCCGCCAAAAAAGAATGAGGAAGCTCTGAGTAGTGATACGGAAGATCTCCAAGATGCAGTCAAGTGAGTAACAAAGTGCAGTGTATACACCACTTGTACATAAACATCTGCGTTAAAAAACGGAAATGTGTACGCATTTGCTTTTACATCCACATGATCAGAGGAAGCATATACTGGTGTCCTTTGTGCCATGAGTCTGGTTGCATGCTGGAAGGGGAATGGAGTCATTAGCAGCCAGGGCTGGGAGGGAGACAGCTCAATGCAGGTCTCTTTAGGCCTTGTGGAGTTGGACACTGTGAATTCTGAATCCCCGAGTTCCCAGCGAGAGCCCTCAGCCCAGGATGCAGTGGCTCCAGGCCCTGCCCACCCAGAAACACTGCTTACCAGCCAGGAGCAGCGTGTGGGTGTTCTTGTTATCCGGCACTTTGTCTGACCTCTCACAAGGGTGCATTCCTAAGAACTTCACAATATTGCCCACAGCCTCTGTAGGGAGAAACCCCAGTGTCATTAAGCCACTTATCTTGCCCCGCTTTGTGCCACCATCACTCCCCCATCCCCTAGCCCCACTCTGAGCAGCTTTTAATGACGTGGCATCTGAAGTACCTACTCTGGACACAGCCCTGGATCTTTGGGGGCATTGAGGGCAGGGATGGGGAACAGAGAGGAGCACTTGGACAGTGGCCAAGGACCTTGAAAGGCAAGCAAGCTGGAAACAGCAACTCCTGGATTTACCTTCAAGTGTCTTGATGGTGGACAAGGTGAATGTTTCCTCCTTCTCGAACTCGTCCCCCACCTCATCCCAGGCAGCTTCAAAGTTCACCTTCATGACCTTTTGGATGTGATCAGCTATCGTGACTTCCAGATCTTCCAGCTGGGGAGACAGAGGTGCCCGTCAGGCACACTCCTCCAGGGCAGACTCCCTGCCCCACACACCTCTGAACCTCTGCTCTGACCCCGCCACCCACCCCTTCCTGCAGCGTGTTAGGCTGGAGATTGCCAGGCACTGAGCAGCGTGCTGGGCTCAGGGGACAGGCAGCAACTTGACTGGCTGTGTGTCCCCAAGGTGCTCACAGCCAAGCGGTGACCTTTCAGCAGATACACCCTGGCCCAAGTACAGTCGTCCCTGAGTATCTGCAGGGACTGGTCCCAGGACCCCCCAGATACCAAAATCTCTGACACTCAAGTCCTTTATGTAAAATGGTGCAGCATTTGCACTTAACCCACTCATACTTTCTCTTTTCTTTCTTCCTTCCTCCCTCCCTCCCTCCCTCCCTTCCTTCCTTGAGTAAAGGTAGATTTACTCAGAGATATACTGAAAGGCAGGAGAAAGGCCACGAGGTGTGGGGGTTGCGTGCTCAGATTAAAAGTAGGCACACACTCCACAGACAGAGTGTGGGCTGTCTCTGAATGAATGGAAAGAGAGCGGCCCCCACGCATACTTTAAATCCTCTCTAGATTACTCGTAATACCTGATACAACGTAACTGTTATGTAAATTATTGTAAAAACTAAGCAAATGATATATGAACAGTTGCCTTGTGCAGCAAATTCAAGTTTCCCTTTTTGGAATTTCCTGGAAATCCACCCCCAACCCAACTCCAAATATTTTCAATCTGTGATTGGCTGAATCCATGGATGCAGAACCATGGATACGAGGACCCTCGGCCCTCACCTTGGGGCGTCAGCTATGAGATGACATCCCTCTGAGGCCTGCCTAGAGTCAGGGCCTGATCGGATGGGAGGGAGTGCTCACGGGCCTGCCTCCTGTGACTCAGCAGACGCCGCCCCCCTCCCCCAAGCTGTGACCTCCCTGGGCCTGTCACGTAAGACTGCCTCGCCCCGGACTGACGTCCATAGAGGACCCCCATCCGTTTACCCTTCACTGAGCCCCTACTCGGGTGCGTGTAAGGTGTCAGCATGCAGGACACGGCTCCTACGCAGAAGACATGCCTCAGACCCCGCACCCCAGGCAGCTCAGTCGGCTGCAGGGCAGTGCCCAGGAAGGCCCCTCCTCAGCAAAGGGTCTAGGAGGACACAAGTGGCCACCGCTGTTTTCCAGCCACTGCCCCTCTAGTCGTGAGGGCTCTAACAGTCTCCGCCCCAGGCTGGGCACCCTGGTCTGTGCTCAGATGGCCCTGAGCCACTGCCCGGGGCACTCGGTCCCACTCAAGCTCAGACAGCTGGAACCGGAAGGGCCTGAATACATGCAAGCATGGAAGGACTGCCCAGCAGATACAGACTGACCCCATTTCTCTAGAAAGCAATGTGACAACATGAATCAACAAGTCTTAAATCATGCTTAGCCTTTGACCAGATTATTTGACTTCTTGGAATCTATCCTAAGAAGATAGCCTGAAATGCAGATAAAAATTTGCACTCAAAGGGACGTTCAATGTAGTATTTGAAAACAGTGAAAATTTGGAATCACAAAGGCCCAATGTTAAAGGAATGTAAGGTCAAGTGAAGTTATGCTATGTCAATAGAAGGGAGTATGTTAAAGTCATCAAAAATTGTGTTTATGAAAAAACCCGTGTTTACGAAGTGCTTGTAATGACACAGGAGACGACGCTGCAGTTGTCAGTGGGCAAGGTCAAGGTCACTGCACAGAATAACCTCCGACACAGCTCCGCTCCCCGCGGCACTCCCCGCGGGCCACGGGCAGCGCTTTCCTGTGTGTCTATACTGCGTTTTTCTATTCCCCACTCCAGCATGAAAACGCTTCCAGGCCGCTGTCCACGCCGGCAACCTCCTCGCCCAGCCTCTTACCACATACTCGTCCTCATAGCCTTCCTCGTCGGTCTCCCCAGTGGTGGGGTCGCAGTCCTTGACAGTGAACTTCATCATGCAGCTGAACGTGCAGGCCACTGTGGCGGGGGGAGAGGCCGGGCGGTCGGGCGCGTCCTCCACGGGCGGGCGGCCAAGGCCCACACCCCCCAGCCCCCGCTACATTCTCACTAGTGGCACCTAACCCCCAGCCCCACACGTCTGGACCAGGGACTCCAGCTGGGAGAAGGCCAGAGAGCCAGGTCCCGGCCTGAGATGCGCCCCCACGGGGAAGGAAGGGGAGGGCACAGGTGCTGCAGGCTGGCTACATCCACAAAGCCCTCCTGGGCCTGGGAAAAGTGCCCGGTTCTCTGGGAGGAGTGGACCTGGGACCTCCTGCATCTGCGCTTCCTCTGTGCTCACTCACGGGACAGTGACAGGGTCTGGTCTGAAGACCAGACGGACCCGGCTCCGCCTCATACCAGCCATGTGGCCTCAAGAAGCCCTTTAACCCACGTCTGAGTCTCCTCCTCTAAGACTAGGGACAGTGGTGCTGCGCCCTCGGGTCTACGAGGAGGAAGTGAGACCATGTGGGGAAAGTCCCGGGGGCTCAGCCATTCTCTTTCTTCTCCTCCTCAGGACTCACGTCAAGGAGCTGAAGCTCCGGCAGGAGACAAACAGCTGGCACCGAGCTGCCCACCCCACCCCAATCGACCCCAGGGTGGTCCCCGCAGAGGGCTCACCGGCGGTGGGGTCCTCCTTGGGCAGGGCCACCAGCGTGTAGCAGGTCCCGGGCTGGTTGTAGGGTAGGCTCCGGGCGGGCACGTAGCACAGCACCTCGCAGGCCTCAGTGGGTTCCATCTGCACCGTGACGTTCTCCAGGGTCTGGTCGTTGAGTGTGTTCGTGCAGTCAAACTGGATCAGGGAGGAGAGGGGCTGCTCAGATGCTGCTCTGGCCCCAACCTACTGCAGAGGAGGAGCCAGGGGTCCTCCCTCTCACCCGGGGGCCACACTGACTCCTGGCCCAGTCCCCCTCCCAGGCTCCCAGTCTCTGTGCTAAAACTCAGGAGCCAGAGGGATCCTGGGTCAAGGATGCGAGACATGTGGCTGCCGGTGACAGATCTGTCTTCAGGCTGAGCTCCAATTTCTCAATGCGGGGGCGCCAGGACCCCACGGGACTGTTCCTAGGGCCCAGGCCCCCACAGAGGCTCAGCCTCCCGGCTCACCTGGAACACCATGTGCTCAGTGAAGGTGTGTTTGGTGCAGCGGACGACATACTCGGTCTCTGACTCAGTGAGGGCCACGGGCTCAGGCGAGGACTTGAAGAGGGGCCCCAGCCCCTGGAACTCAGGCACTGCCGCCAATTGCTCTGAAACCCACAGGCCACATGGTCACTCAGTCCCAGACCAACCTGTGCTCCTGATCAATCCTCACGCCCAGTCCTCAAGGTCCACTGGTGATTTCCTGAATACACGCAAGCACTCGCTCACCTCCCTGACTCCGCTCGTGCCATACCAGCACAATGGACGCCCTCCTCCCCATTGCCCTCAGAAGGCGCCAGAAGCAGCCGACGGACTGGGAGGCCCCAGAGTCCTAGGTCTAATCCGTCTGGAGACTCCCTCAACTTTAGGAGCTCAGCAAAGATTCTTAAGAGAAGATGGAAATTAGGGAAAGACTAAGAGGAGAGGAATGCTGTTACAACCAGAGGACCGGGCAGGAGAACAGATCAATCTCAGACGTGTTAAGACAAGCGGCTAAAAAGGAGATGCTTCAGGTTCAGAGTGTTGCAGAAAACCCAATCTAGTGTGGATGGCGTGCATCCGGTAAGGCCTCAGGCAGCGTTCCTCAAACTGTGGTCACGAATCACCTACATCAGAACCACCCGGTTGGGAGGACTGGTGGAAAACTCAGATTCTTGGACCCTTCCCAGATCTGCTCTATTGAAATCTCTGGCTCGGGACCCAGGAATCTGCATCTCTAACACTTCTCAGATGACTTTGATGTCTACTGATGTTTGAAGATCACCACTCTTAAGATTTTCAACTTGTCTTCCCAGGTAAATTGAACTCTGTAAGGACGAGAACTGCGCCCTGAGGCCGGGGATGACATTCTGCCCCGGACTTAATAGGGACTCAATTCACGTTTCAGGGATAGAGCGAGAAAGTAGGCATTTTTATTATTTTGTTTTCTCCCACAACGAAGAGGCAGCCTGTGTGACTGTGCCAGCCCTCTACAGCCTGAAGGACTGTATCTGATGAAGGTGCAGGCAAGAAAACGCCCAGAAAGAGGCAGCTTGGGTATCAGGAGGAACACTCGGGCCACCGTGACCATCAGCCACCAGTGCTTTTCCACGGGCTCTGTTTCACTGGGCGTTAAATTTCCAGACCCTTACTACCCGGGGGGAGTCCACTAGTATTAATGCCTCTGAGCTGCAGACTCTTCCTCAATAAAACAGACACAATAATCTTGTTCCCAGGGTTGTAGTGAAGATAAATGAGGCAATAAATGTCAAGGTCTAGCAGGGTCCCTGGAACTTAACATGTGATCAATACAAGCTAGGCTTTGAGAGACTGTCTACAAATGGAATTGAGACCCTTGAAGAGGCTCAGAAGGCGTCTACCTCGGAGGGTGTGGCACAATGGTCCATGTGCACAAGCGAATGCCCGGAACCCGAGAATATGTTCCCTCGCTCTGCAGATGTGATTTTATTTACTTCTTTATTTTTCAGAGGAGGTGCTGGGGATTGAACCCAGGACCTCCTGCATACTACATATAAGCTCTACCACTTGAGAGGGAGGCAGGAAGGTCAGAGCCAGAGAGACGTGGAAAGCCTTTGCAGCTGGCTTTGAAGGTGGGGGAAGGGGCCTCTAGGTGAGGCATGCAGGCGCCCTCGGAAACCAGGGAAGAAGGCGAGTGGACGAACCCCCTCCAAGCCTCCAGAGGGAGTGCAGCACTGTCAACACAGCAAAACCCACTTCGGATTTCTGACCTCAGAACAAGATCATTAATCTGTGTGACGCTGAGCCACTAAGTCCGTGGTCATCTGTGGCAGCAGCAAGGGAGAACTAACACAGAAGGAAAGTTCCAGGTTAGAAGGAGTCCAGCCAACTCAGGATCCTAGTCCTGGGAAATGTGAGAGAGAGTATGCTGAGAGAAGACAAGATTCTGGAACGGAAAGGAGAAGGTGGGACTTCATGTCCGTCAGCAACAGTCGGGGGAGCCTACCTGAGTCAGGAAGGCACTGTGGAGGCGCTGCGACAGGCAACAGAAAGACAGACCATGTGGAGAACCGCGCAGAGCTACGGAGAGAGGGGATGAGCCCCAGGGCCCGGGGGTGCTTCACAGGGGCAGGCAGACACGTGCCAGTGCTTGAAGGTAGGAATTCAGTGGATAACATGGTCTGACAACTCGACCCACAGCCTCTCCCCGTGAAAAATGCCAGAGCAGAGGGGCAGACGAATACCCAGACAGAACCCTGCACGGCAAGGTGGATGGAGCACGTCTGGAACCCAGGAGGAAGTACCGGTATGTCTGGACCCAGCAGTGCGGACCCAGACACGCTGAACTGGCCTGGCTCCGGGGCCCGAGCCCTCAGAGCCAGGGCCGGGAGGCAGCTCGGAGCCAGTCGGATCTGGATCTCAATTCTAGTCGCCCTACTTCCTCAATTCCTTGCTGTGCAAATTCGGGCAAATCACTTTCTCTCTCTGGACATCCAAATCCTCAAATACCAAATGGACCGAATACCCTCCATCTGCGGGTCAAGCACACTGGCCAAATACTCCGAGGGCCCAGCGCTCAGGAGACCTGAACGGTGGCAGGTCTTCCTCTGAACCCCGGGAGAGAGCCCGAACCCGGCTGCGGCCCCGGGAGCCCCCCCAGCAGCTCTGCTCACCCTGGAAGATCTCCTGCCGGGTGGCTGCCACCTTCTCAGGCTGCTTGGCTGCGGTGATGGGGGTGCTTTCTGCAGGAACAAATACGCATGGTGACCAGCAACTCCAGTAACAGGCCAGGGTGGCGTCAGCCATGGTGCTGTTACCTAGGGATTATAATTTCCAACCCCCGGGAGCGTGAAGTACAGAGCACGTGAGAGAGTGTGCGAACGTGCCTTCACTTCCTGGAGCCAGCGGCACAGGGCAATCCCCTCCTCCCGGCACAGCCCCGTCCATCCCCGGCGGGGGCAGTGGCTTTGCGGGGCCACGGCGGTGTCACTCACCTGCTCTTGGCTCTGCAGTGGGCGCGGTGGCCAGGGGCACAGACTTAAGGTCGAAAGGCTTTTCTGATGGTTCCAGAGTGTACTGCTGCAGCGCCCTCTCCAGACCAGGGATGGACACGGTCAGACCTGGAGGCCAGCGGGAGGCTGAGGGCCTGAGGTCTTACCCCTGAGCCTCTGCCTTCCCCCGACACCCTGACACCCTCCGTCACAGGACTGGCGTGGGGAGTCGGGGGGCATGGGACAGAGACTGATCAAGGGCAAAGTACTGAGAAAATGGGGGTTTATGTCAACGACTAGCATTTCACTCCATTGGGCCATTTCCACCCGCACGGCTGTGAACCGCAGGGCCCAGGGTCTCCTGAGATCACAGCGCTGCTCCGAGGTCACCCTGAAAGCCAGCCCAGAGCGTCCCGCCTCAAACTTGCCCTGCCCAAGGAGGGGGCGCGGCACTCGGCAGGCCAGGGTCAGGACGGCAGGGGAGACGCACCGTTCAGGATGTAGCCTGCGTTAAGGGCCTTCTGCTTCTGCTCCAGGACGTTGAGATAGAAGGTGGCTCGGTCCCTCACCTCATTGTCATCGTCCATCACGCACCTGCGGCCAGAACACAAGGTCCTACTGACGGGGGCCCCACAGGGCTAGGGGTGCTTCAGGGCTTCACCAGAGGGCGGTGAGAAGAAGCAGGTCTCTTACAGCTCAGCCCCCAGATATGGTGCCTGGGCTTCTAACCAACAGGTGGTGGCCACATTCATATTCCCTGCACCCTCTCCCTAGGGCTCACCCAGCGAAGGGGCGACCTCCCGTGTCCCAGAGCACACGTCGAAGAAGAACTTAACCTGGCCCAGTAACTGCACTCCTAGGTACACACCCAGGACAACCGAGAACCCGTCACACACAGATCGTGCACACGTTTTCACAGCTGCACTGCTCACAACGGCCAGAGTAGAAAGCTGATGAATGGACAAACAGACCGTGGTCTAGCCCTGCAATGAAATGCTATTTGGCCATAAAAAGGAACAAGGTGCCGGCACCAGTTACAACGTGGATGGACCCCGGAAACACTGTGAAGGACACGTGAAATGTGACACAGAGCACGACTGTGCTGTCACGAACTGTCCAAAACAGACAACTCAGAGGCTGGGGTGGGTCAGGGTTAGGGTCAGTGACCAGGGCAGGGGGCGGGAGTGTCTGTGGTGACTACTGATGGGCACACCGTTTCTTTTTGGGGTGACAATAATGTTTTAAACTAAGCTTGTGGTGATGGTTGTACAACTCTGTGAATACACTAAAAATCATCATGTTATACGCTTTTAACAGTGCATGGTATGTTTGTAAGCTGTATCTCGATAAAGCTGTTTTTAGAAAAAGAACAACTCAAGTTAACAATGGTCACGTCTGGGCGGTGGGATTTTTGCACGATGTTGTTTTTCAGACTTTTATTTTCTACAATCAATAGTGGTGTATCCCCCCACCCACCCCTTTTAGTTAGAGACATAGCAACGCTGCCAGGCCTGAGGGAGCACTGCTGTCCGTCGGGCCCAGGCTCGCACTCACCGCTTCAGCAGCACCAGGATACTGGGTAACATCTCCTCATTCTGCGCCCCGAACTTGGCCAGAGCACTCACAGCGCCTGCATTTAGCAAGTAAGTGTGATTCACCTCCAGTGCTCCGAATGGGTCATCCAGAGCCCAGCGGTCCAGAACCGGGAGGCCCTGCCCACCACCCCGGCAGCGACTCCCTGCCTCCCATGGGGAAGGCAGCCCTGCTCTCGGGTCCCAGGGGCCCTTTCCAGCATTAACTCTGATGAGGCACGGAGCTGCCCTCCTCAGTTCACAGTTACACATCACATGACTATGAGTGAGAAGATGAGCTATTACTTAATGAGTAACAACCGCTGAAGGAGGAAAATCTGTCTAGAGGAGGCACCAGCTAATTAAAAATAAAATTAAGAATGCGATGGTTGCCCATCGAATTGTACACTCATGTAAGAGTGAGTTTATGGTATGTGAATTGTATAATTGTATAATTTAATACAGGTATTATTAAAAAAACAAAAACTAAACACGCAGAAAGATAAACAGCAATACATAGTGAAACTTCAGAACAAACAAATCAATAAAACAAATGAGGTTAAGGACCACTCCACCAGATGACACCCACACATCTAAGACCCTTCCCACAACTTCACAAAATGCTGAGCTTGCGCAGCCAGAGCACCGGGTGCCCATCTCCGGGGAGCTCAGCCCCTCTGCTGGGGGCTCTGCTCCAGGGCCGGCCAGGAGCCCAGGGCAGCCTTCCTCAGACCCACCTGCCCGGACCTCCTCGTGCTCCAAGACCACCCGGTTGTAGATGAAGCGGATGTACTTGGACGGGTTGTTGGTCTTGGGCCCCTCCTGGCCCAGGAGGTGCAAGATGCGCGTGGCCAGCACCGTGAACTCGCAGTCCTCGATGAACTCGCACAGGTGCGACAGCCCGGTCTCCTTGCTCTCCGAGTTCTCCTCAATGATGCTGATGATGCAGTCCACGATGGCCCGCTTGTACTCGAAGCCGCCCTGCAGCGGGGGCGGGGAGGGGTGCTGAGCAAGGAGGCCACTTGCTCTGCAAACGAACGAGCGCGGAGGCCCAGGCCCAGCAGTCCAGGTGCAGACCTAGGGGCCCGGGCCTGGCTCCCTGGGCCTCTACCTCTGTTTTGTGTAAAACAAAAAGCTAAGGCTGAGTCCTCGCTGGGGCGTTTCCAGTCCTAACAGCAGATGGTTTAATAGGAACCTTCTGGGTCTTAATTTTCTTCCCATCTTTGAGATAAAGGCAGAGTGGGTGGTGCAGGTGCTGGGAGGGGGAGCAGGCAGCTAGTGTTTACAGGAACAGGTCTAGTTTTGCAGGATGAAAATGTTCTGGAGATTAACTGCACACCAATGTGAATATACTTAACACTGTTGACCTCTACACTGAAAAACAGTTAATACGATGAATTTTCTGTCATGTATTTTATGAAGATTAAAAGACTGAATGGGCCGGTGGAGGAGCAAAAGACCTCGGGCCAAATCTACCCGCTGCTACTTAGAGACTTAGGAACAGAAGTGGCAGCTGAGACACCCTCAGGTGCCAGGCAGGTAACCTGGCAACACACAACAGACTGGGTGGGGGTGGGCAGGGACAGTGCCTGTCCTGTCTGAAGAGTGACGTCACGACGCCGCCTCGTGTGGCCCGGTCTTAGAAGTTCTTCAAGAGAAACTGGAAATCTACTGTGGTGGCAAACAATGGCTACTAATTCAAAACGTTAAAACCCCGTACAATGCAAGTAAAACTTGTCTGTGGGCCCAACCTGGCCCCTGTTCTCAGGTCAGCTTGTTTTCTGGCTGCGGTAAGTTACCTCCCTTGTCTGAGCCTCAGGCACCTTGACGGAAGGACGGTTAGCGTGCTCAGCCGACAGGTGATCCTGAAGGACGGACACGCTCTGTGAGTGGCACTGCGTGCGTGTGTGCCGGTGCCTAGGGCTGCCACGTGGGGCACGCACCGGGGTCGGCCTCAGCCCTGCAGCCTGCCCGCTGGGTGCCGTGAGCTCGGAGCAATGGCGGCAAGGTGCTGCCAGCGGCTGCTGGACCGGCGGCTGCCGAGGGGCCTGAGTGCCTGGCTCTGACGGGGGAAGCCCTCATGCTTCACTCACACGGACCCACGTCTTGTCCTGGGAGGCAGGGAGGCCCGGGAGAACACCAGGGGCTGTGCGCCTCACAGACCCAGACTCAGACCTTGGCTCAGAGCCCTGATTTTTAAAGGGGGAAAAATGTTTACAAGGCCTGTGATGATGGTCACAAGATCGAGGACGCTACGGTGTCCCCACAGAGCCGGCTGTCAGCCCTAACCCCCATTCCTCCTCCCGCTCCCTTCTGACGTTCCTACAAACCCTAAAGACGCCCACCGCAACGGTTCCTCTAGTCTTGGCCCAGGGGCCGGGCTGGGGCTGGGGCAAAGGGCCACCAGGTATCTGGGGACCAAATCCACTCCAAGAAACTGCTTTTCCGCCTCTGAGTTAACCAGTTTTGTTGAGACCACCAAGAAAGGGGAAACAAGTGAATCACTAACTCATGTCAGGAACAAAAATAGAACCAATGTCACACCATTTTCTTGTTTCCCAAGAAACCACCCTGGAGCTCCTGGTTGGCCCAAATATTTCTATGTGAGATGACACCAGACGGAATTCAGTTTCCCACCTTCCGCACAAGCATCGCCTCGGGGCACCTGCTGGCTCTTTAAAGGTAGGGCAGTGTGTCATTATCGCTATTACTGTCATCACCAGGCACTGGTGCGTGTTTATACTGTCGGTCCACGAGCAGTTTAAAGGGCCGTGGGCACCAGGAAACTCGGCCGGCTGACAGGTTGAGCTGGGTACACCCAACAACAGGCCCTGGGCTCCAAACAGGGCTTGGAGCCAGCAGCCAGGCCACTGCCTGCTCAGGAGACCTGGCGTGTCCCGAGGGCCCCCACTCACCTCTTCACGCAGCATGGAGAACAGGAAGTTCATCAGGACGGCGTGTTTGCGAGGGTACTTCTGACACAGAGCACTGATGGCCTGGACGACCACCACCTGGGCCAAACAGACATGCGTGAGCAGCAGCCCCTGCCCCCAGGCTCAGGTTACTGCGCTCACGGAGTGGCCACGGAGTCCCTCCTTGGGCAGGGCCAGGGCGAGGAGACGCGAGGACCTAAGTCCCCGGCCTGCCCTGGGCAGGGCGCCAGGCACAGCACCTCAAAGCCCCTGATCCAGGCTTTGGGTGCCCCCGACTCTGCTTTTCGACTCAGATCTCAAAGCAAGTCAACGAGGCCCGCACCATCCCACGGGCCCCACTCCCCCACCAGCGGTGACTCCCACCCTCAGCTGTCCTCACTCAGGCTGCCGCCTGGTCCTGCAGCCCTGGCCCTCTTCTCTTCTCTCACAGTCTCTTCGGCAATCTTACCTCCTCCCGTGGTTTTAACCACCTCTTCTAGGCCACTGACTCCCAAATCTCCGTCTCTGCTCTGAGTTCAAGATCAGTGTTTCCAAATGTCCTTCACGGAACTCCATGTGGCACCCACGGGCACCTCAGACACGGCCCGGCTGCCATCACCGTCACCACCCTCCCTCTTCCCTCATCCAAGACTGACCCTCGCCCCCCTCCCCAGACTCACCCACAGCGCTGCCATCAACCCCAACTACAAGCGGAGTCAGCGCTCACCGCGTTTCCTCCCCCGGCCTTCGCACCGCGCCCCGACACCCAGCTCTGCTCCTTGCAGAGCCCTCAAAGCGCCCTCCTCTCCTACCTCCCCCGCCTGGAGGTGCCACTGCCTCTTCCGAGCAAAGCCGCACTCCAGCTGCCCTCCCAGCTGCCCCAGAAGGGTCTAACACGCGAGCCCCCCAGTGTCACTTCACAAAGTACTCATCCCTACAGCCCGCAGCGTTTCTCTCTGCCCGCTTTGTGTAACCCACGCCACACAACTTACCACACTATTTATCATCAGTCATGTTACCATCTGCCCTGAATAACTCTCTGAAAACGTGCTACATGGTCCGTTTATGTAACAACTGTGAAACAACATAATCACAGAGACTGAACAGGGGCCAAGGGCTGGGGAGGAGGGAATGGGCGTGGCTCTGCAGGGCAGGTAACACGAGGGAGCTGTGGTGATGGTGTAGCTGAGTACCTGGTACCTTGACTGTGCTGGCAGTTTTGCAAGGCTACACAGTGTGACAAAGACGAGGTTTCAGGAGGAGGGTACAGCTCAGTGGGAGAGTGCGTGTCTAATATGCATGAGGCCCTCCATTAAATAAACAAACGAACAAACAAACCCAATTACCTCCTCCCCCGCCAAACAAAAGCAAAAACAGTGTAGTTTCTCACACACACAGGCACACATCCACGTGTGACTGGTGAACTGACTACGGACGTGCCCGTGCTGGTTGATGCTGTCCTGTGGTGGTGCAGGAGCTGGAGGAGGGAGCTGGGGGAGGAGTGCACGGGAATTTAGTCCATTTCTTTGCAACCTTCTGCAAACCATTTGAAAATGAAAGTTTAAAAGGTACTACTGAAAAACCTAGTATCTTCCTTAAAAGCACAACTCTGCCACGCCCCTCCAGGCCCCACGTGCTCTAGGCCCCACCTGCTCTGACTTCACTGCTGGTCCCAGTGCTGCTGCATCCCCACCTCCAGCATCTTCCCCGAGGCTGGCTCATGGCCCAGGACTGGCTCTTCCTAGGAACCTCTCCTGCACCTGCTTCCTTTGCTGCACCGGCAGCATCTGAGACTCCGCCATCCTCTCACTTGTGTGCACGCTCCTGCCCTCTCCTCACCAGCACGCAAGCTCCACGAGGGCAGGTAGGACCTGTCCTGTGCACCGCTACGTCCCCTCTTCTGAGAGCCCTACACAGTATACCGCCGGCACACGGGCAACACTTCAGGACCCGATAAAGGGGTCTGGGAGCTCCCGGCCTTGCTGCAAAGAACACCACGGACAAAGGCCAGACCAGGCACCGCACGCATCAATCTCCACAAGTCCTCCACCCAACCAGCCCTCAGGTCCCCTGGCCCGGGGCGGGCACCTTGAACTCATCCGAGATCTCGGACATGAAGGAGGAGATCTGCTTCATGAGGCGGTCGATGCTGCCCTCGCTGCCCGTCTTGAGGAGCGTGGTGATGGCCAGCGTGGCGATGCTGCGGTTCGAGTCCGTAACCAGGTTCTCCAGGTCCAGGTTACAGGCTGTCACCGCTGACGGATGCTTCATGGCAACCTGTCTTGGAAGGAAAGAGATGGAGAGGACAGGCACAGGAATGCAGGCCTCCCACCAGAACTTCAGACAAGCTCATGCCACCCCCCGGGAGAAACGAGTCCAACCAGGGCTGCACCTTCCATGGGGTAGGGGCTCAAAGCCACTTCCAGGGGTCCCAGGACAGCTCCCCATCCCGCCAACCCCACACTCACCTTGTTGAGGGTGCGGACAGCGGCGTAACGGAGCGCGGCCTTGGGAGAGCTGCAGAACAGCTGGAGCACTGTGGGGACACAGACGCCACGTGTCAGGCCACCCTCTACTGGGTGGCTGGGGAAACCCAGGGCCTCCCAGGGGGCCTGCGAGGGCTCAGTCGGCTCAGACCCAAACCCTGTGCTTGACTTGTTTCCCTGCTGGCACCTCCACTTCAGCCGAGGAAGAGCCATCCTCCCCCTGGGCACCTGAGCCAAGAGCAGAGGGCTTATGAGGGCCCACGTTCCCACGGGTGAGCACCTGCGGCCTCGTCTGAGTGACCCCCACTGGTATGAGGCAGCTACTGTCACCACCCCGTCTTTAACAGGCACAGGCTGAGGTACAAAGGGGTGAAGCAACCGAAGGGACTCTGGCCCAGCAGCTGGGAGGCGGCAGAACTAGGACAATGTCCAGGATTGCCTGTACCTGAAGCCCAAGCACTGAAACCACCCCCCATCCCGTGAAGCCATCTCCCACCTCTCCCCAGGGGGCGTACAGACACCAGCAGGGCCCTGGGTCCCGGCAGGACCACCGCCTCGGTCCCTGTTCCCGTCCCTGGGAGGCCCCCAAGCTGGGGGTGGGCTCTACACGTGCTCGCTGAGCTGCTCTCTGCAGCACCCCCATCCCTTTCCTTGTAACCTGACTTGTATTCTCTTACATGTTTTCAGCACTTACTCATGTTTTCCTTAAAATCACCCTTATTTAGAAAGCTGCCTGTTAACTTGATGTTCATTGTCCTGGAGACACAGGAAATGTAATGAGAATGAACGCTTAGTGCACTGAATGGATTCATTTACCGTTCAGCTCTTTTGCTTTTGTCTCTGAGAAGGAAGGCAGACTTCGCTCTCCAAACGAGAGCCCCGCCTCTCTGCCTGACCAGGTTCACAGCCCTCCTGCGCAGGATACTTGAAGAACAGGAGGCCCGGTCACGCCTAACACCTGCAGCCTGACCTCCCCCGCAGAGAGTCCTGGCTTCCGTTGTGCGTGTCCTTCTGGGGCGGCCGCCCTTTCTCTCCCACTGCATGCATCTGGACAGCTTCTCCTCACCTCACCTCTCAACACCCCTGCTTCCCAGCACCAACCACTGAGCCCGGCACCCCATGCTCGCTATGCTGACATCCAGGGAGGGCTCAACATGCAGCACACGGTCCTGAGCGACAAGGCACTGAGGACTCAGCGAGGGGACCGGCAACAGCTCAGACAACCACCCAGAGCACCGCCACTGCGCTCTGAGCTGCCAGGCGGCGTTCGAAGCCGTCTGTGCCGATGACTCAAGTCTATTGCCGGCCATAACCCCAGGGAATGGGCGCGATGACCACCCCTCCCTGCAGCGTGGAGAGGACAGCTGACTGGCCCAGGCTCATCCGGCAGCTGAGACAGGGCCAGGACTCCCACCCCGGCTACCAGGTTCACAGGCTGACTGGACCTCTGTACCGATCTTTCTCCTTCCCTGCAGATGGCTCAGGCCCAAGGGACCACACCCTGGCTTTAAATGCGGGGTTCCTCCACTGGGCCCTTGTTATGGCCAGCCAGCCGGCAGGCTGCAGGACACATTTGAACCTCGCCTCCGCCCACTCGCCAGTGCTCTGGCCTCTGTCGTGTAAGACGGAGCTAAGGGCGCCCCATCCCCCAAATGAGACCCATGTGGGAAGCCCAGGCGCGAGCCTGGCACAGAGCAGGTGCTTCCTGGGAACGCATTCCCTCTCTTAACCCTTGACTGTGGCCGATTTGGAGGAATTTCTGTTCTTTCCCACAACCCCTGGCCCAGGACCTACATCCCCGGAGGCAGGGCCGTGTGGGGCTGGGGTGCAGGACGTCCGGTCACCTGACACGGCCGGGGCCAGCTCCTTGGCGCTGCAGCCTGGCAGGTTGACGATGGCCGAGGCGGCTTCGTACACCACCATCTCGTGCTTGTTGCGCAGGCAGCTCTCGATGAAGTCAAAGAGCGGGCTGTCACGGCTACGGAACAACAGGCAGCAGGAGGAGGCTGGGCAGGCCCAGCCCAGGGCGGAAGGGCAGGGAAGCCTCAGTGGGCCGCCAACAGAGACTTACCTGCCATCCTCCTCCTCCAGCTGCCGGCTGGCCACGCGGATCATCATGCAGTAGGCGAAGGGGGACTTGAGGCCATGCCGCGTGAACTTGCTGATCATCTTGCTGACGGCCAGGCGGTCGTTCTTCCGCACGTGGTACAGGAGCCCCAGCGCGTGGTACTGGAGGACGGGAGAGGGCAGCAGGACAGGGCACGTGAGGCCGGGGCCCCGGCCACGCGACCCTGGAGGCCACACGTCCCTCTGCACTTCTGCCTCCACATCTCTAAGACGGACGTCCTGGTGGCTTCCTCGCGGAGACTGAAGGCAGCGCCCAGCAAGCCACCTGAGCATCTGCAGTTCCCAGCCACCCCCGCCCCTGAGTTCAGCAAGGGCCTGTTGGGCAGCAGCCTGAGCACGGGGGCGGGGGGCCCGCAGACGCCCGGAGACGGAAGAACTGGGGGAGAGCGCGCGTCTTCCGGCCAGAAAGAGAAAGTGGGAGCCAGGCCTTGGGCGGGGACCCGTGTTGTAAGGTGCCGTGCAGGCCTGAGACCTCACGGCTACCTCCACTGATGGGCCCGAGGGCTCGAGGCTGATACTGGCAAAGTGAGGCGCACAGAGTTACTTCTTGTCCCTCTGCTCTTTGCTGATTCCTCACCAGAGGGGCATCTGACGGCTTTCTACACGGGGAGCTTCCCTGACACTGGAACGTGTTCGAGGGGCCACCGCTGGCCCCAGAGACGAGACCCAGCACACAGGGAGCCGGAAGGCAGGTGCCGGACGGGCAGCGGCTGCAGGTGCTCTCAGCTCACCCTCACAGCTTTGTGAGCAGGGCCTCTCCTTCCCATTTCACCGACAAGGAGACTGAGACTCACGGAGATAAAGGGATTCCTGGCTGAGGTCAGCGAAGAGCTAAGCAGGTCAAAGTCCTCCCAGGATGCGCCCAGGCATCGCCAACAAAGCTAGCTGGGAAACAGCCCTCTGCCTGCCTGGGCCGGGCCCGCCACGCCACACTCCCCAGACAGTACTCGGCTGGTTGCCAAAACCCTCCAATGTTCTGGTATCAGCTGGTGAAGTCTCCAGCCCAACTTCCCCTGCAACTGGTGTCCTGCATGCCCTCCCCAAACCCCCTAAGCCTCCCCACAATGACAAAAGGAGCAAACTCCTCTCCAGCCAAGGCCACCAGGACCTCCCTGGTGAGCATCCATCCTGCCCAGCCCCTGCTGAGCCACCTGCCTCAGTCTCAAATGCCACTGCTCCGTTCACAGCTCACCTGGACCATGATGTTGTCGCTGGATGCCGCCTCCTGGGCCTCATTCACCCAGCGCTTGACCACGTCAAAGCTGCACTTCAGCAGGTGCTGTGGGCGCGGGGCTCATTAAGGGGGGCAGGCAGGATGCTTCCCCACTGCACCCCCCGGCCCCGCCCACAGTCCCAAGTGCTCCAGAGCTTCCCTCAGGCGCCGTCCCCCATCCTCCGAGAAGGCTCCCACCCTCCCTCTCCCCACCAGGGCAGATCTCCACCAGGCCTGAACTCCAAAAAGCTATCACCCCGCAGGAAGGGCCAAGGTTGTCCAACTGGCCCCCCAGTCAACCCCAAGTTCCCCGGGCACTCCTCACTGGGAAGGGGTGGGACTCGCAGATCAAGGGGTACAAAACTTCTGTTTTCCTTTTGGACAGTGACTCTGCTATTTCTTCAATTTCCCAATCTGCTCCCTGCCCCTGCCCCAGCCCCGAAGGGCCCCGGCCTCGGCTACACACCAGGGAAGACACCAGGGCAGAGCTGGAGACGCTGGGCACCTTGTCCACGATGGCCTGCTTCATGTAGCGCTCAATGGCCTGCAGCATGGTGCTCTGTGGGGACAAGGGTGGGGTGGGAGGGGACCCCGTCAACCCCTGCCACCCTCAGGAGCACGTGACTGGGTGTGGAGAAGTGAGGGCCAGGAGGGAGGAAGCACACGTGTTTACTGGGTTCTGGCTCCCCTCCCGCCCCCAGCACCTGGCTTGGGGCTTTGCCCAGAACCCCGGCAGGAAGGCTAGGGGTAGGAACAACCTAAAGCAAAGGATGAGACCCAGAGGCAACGGGCCGGGAGAGGGGGGTGGCCTCGGGGCAGCAGACTCACGTCAGTGATCTGGCAGAGGGCGCGCACGGCCGGGCCCCGGTAGTTGTCTTCCTTCCCGGTCATGTCCTTCGTCAGGCTGTGGGGGAGGAGGCGCTGTCCACACGCAGGGGCAGGAGCCAGAGGCAGGCCTGCTGCCCCCAGCCCACGCCCGCCCGCCCCCTCCAGCTCCGGTCACCACACGAGGCTCCTGGCTAGCATCCTCTCTGTGTTCTTAAACCTTCTGAGCCAAACACCACACAGCAGCCAGAAGGGTCTATGTAAAACTCAACATTGACTTCATAAAACTCCCTTCCTTTGACGAAAACATCCCCGAGGCCTCCTCCCGCCAGCACCACCAAGCACAAACTCCTTAACAGAGACGTCCCCAGGCAGGCCAGGTGCTCTCCCTGCTCCAGGGCTGCTGCTTCCTGTGCCTGGAACCCTGCCCTCGCCTCCATCCCTGTCCTGCGATTTCCACTTATCCTCCAGGACCCACTCAGATCGTTCCAGGAGGCCTTTCCTGATCTGAATGCAAGTAGGATATCGCTCTGGTCTGCTCTCACAGACGTCGCTTCCCTAATGCCTGTCCGCCAGGTTGTTTGTAAATTCTGCGCTGCAGAGGCCACGTCTGCTCTGCTCGCTGCTCTGTTCCCAGAGTTACATGCAGGGGCTCGTAGACAATAAACACTATCTAAAGGAACCTAGACATAAATGTGTAACATTCCCCAAACTGTGGCAGGAAGAAATAAGAGAACTGAGCCCAGATCTGACGGGCAGGGATTATATTTCAGTCACGTCTGCATCCTGAATCACTCAGCCTAATACTCAGCGAGCAGACCAGCACTCAGGGAGAGAGTCTGCGCGCCCCGCCCACCCTCTGCACCCACTGTCCCTATGTTCTCGCTGGTCCTTGTGACAGTTCCCGGCTGGCTTTGCTGACTAAGAGGAATCAAAGGGAGGAAGGCTTTGTGCCTAGGTTAACCGCCCCCTTTGGAGGCTGCCATGGGGGGAGGGCGGAGGTAGGCGCCGGCAGAGTAACTGAAGGACGAGGGAGACAGGAGAGGGAAGGACGAAAGAGCACTGCTGGCAACACGTCCAAGTCTCCTGACCTGGTGCTTGAGAGAACACAGCCTCTGTGGCGGTGGGCTCCACCAGAGACCCAGGACTCACCTGCTGGTGACGATGATGACATCTTCTGCGATGCAGGACATCTCCTTGATGGTCAAGTAGCACATCCGACGGAGGGTGGGCTGGGCGAAAGATGCGAAAAGCCCTCTGACCCTGGCTCAGCATGAGCTCCAAGGTTAGGGAAAGAACGCTCCAGTCGACACTGAGGCAGCCTCACGGGCTGGGCGGCTCCCCTTGGCCCTCCCTCTGCCCTGTCAGAGCTGCCTCCCAGAGGAGAGCTGGACTGGGGACACTTACGTCGTTCGACTGAAAGAGTTTGGTCATGGCAAAGAAGGCCTCGGTTGCTTCAGTGGTCCCCAGGTGCTCCCCCTGATTCAAACAAGAAAGAAGGCCCAGCGTGGGACAGACCAGCCAGAAGACTCCTCCCGCCACACCCACCCAAGCCCCGACCCTCGTTCCCTGCAGAGGCCCCAGCAAGGGCAACACATCGGAGTTGGATGCTGGGGGGCCCAGAGCTGGGCCACTGGCTACTACCACATTGGGGCTGTCAAGTAGCTTAAGGGCTATTTGACTTGTGCGCCCCCCACCACATCCCAGCACCACTTTCCCCACCCGCAAGGTTCACCCCGTTACCTGGTTTATGAGGTAAAGGATCTTGGTGAGGATGTGAGCACATTTCCGAGGGTTGATGGGAGTTTCGTTAAACACACGTGCCTAAGAAGGGAACAAGGTCAATTCCTTCTGGCTCCATTTATTTCCCTTTCATGACAACCCCCAAGCACATTCAAGATCTGAGAAGTCCCAGGGTAAATAAACGCATTTTCCCAATCTTAAATATTTTTTAATGTAGGTACTGGGAGATTGAACCCAGGACCTCGTGCAGGTTAAGCACACGTTCTACTGCTGGGCTATATTCCCTCGCCTTGTCCTTTTCTTAATCTGTTAACAACTTCCGAAGTCTTCCCCAAGTATTAGCTGGGGACATGCTGACTTAGTGACTAACAGACACTTAGGAAACGCTTGTTAATTAACTGGAAGGAGAAACAAAGAACAACAAAAAGGTAAAAGCACGACGAACTCTCTCCAGGAATGGGTTTACGCCCTCCTGTTCTTAAAACCAGCACTTTGATGACACTGACTGAGAACATTTACAGTGGAAGAGACGGGGGAGCAAATGACACTTGCCTCCTGGAGGACTGCACTCTTCTCAAGGTGCTGGAATGGGTTGGAGCCTCCACCTATCATCAGAGAACAGAGATGCCTGAGTACTGGCTGTGACCCTGAATTTCAAAACTCCCCAGACGGAGGCAAGGGACAAATGTCCCTATTGTCGACCCATTCAAGTTCCAACTCCTCCGAATGGGCAATCAAAGCTCTACAACCTGCAAACAGATCCTGCCAGTCTCCTGCGAGGGGTCCCTGTACCCCAAACCGCTCACAGTCACCCAGCAGCCCTGGTACAGTCCGTCTGTGCCCCTCATAGCATCATGTCTTGCATTCACTTATACAACTGCTACTTAACTGAGTCCCTGCAATGTGTGGGACCAGCATCTCCCAGGGATCAGGGTTTCTTCACAGTAGAGATCGTACTTGTAACTAATTACACGTGTGATTTTCTGACTGCCGTCTGCCTCCTGCGCTGTCTGTCAACATTCTGACATTCCCAGCTCAGGCACGGAGTGTCTCCCTTGTTCTGCAACATCAGGGCACAGTTCGGTGCCTGACAGCAGCCATCACTCAATATGCGTTTGCTGGTTAAAGGAATAACAGTCAGGGTTCTCAGCCACAGGACGCTGGCTGCGCAGATTACGTCTAGCTTGGCCAGCGCCAACGCAGCCCCAGCGAACCGCCAGCGAACCCCCAGAGGAGCATCTGGCCCGGCCCTCTCCCCTGACAGAGGGGGAAGCTGAGGCCCCGGGAGGCTCGTGACCCGCCCAAGGTCACCCTGCGGATCGCGGTCCGAGCTCCCGAGGGAGCGGCAGTGGCGCATGCTCGTGCCCTCCGAGGCCTGCCGCTGACCAGCGGGGCCCTCCGCACGAGCCCCCGGTACCCCCAGGTCACGACAGAGGCCCCGAAGGAGGCCTCCCGGCGAGGATGCTGAGGGTCTGCGGGGGGGTCCGGCCGTGGCC